GACTTACTTTATATATATAATACTATATACTTATAAAGTATAATGTATATAGTTATACTATATATAATGTATATATTGGTTTTATTGATTCAAACCAGATGCTGTGGATTCAAAGGGTGGAGTAAAGCTGTTATTCCACAAGTCAATCTCATAAGCTTTGAAAGTGATTTAAAGAATGTGATAAGACCCTGAAAATAGATTGATCTTTTATTCATCAAATATTTATTGAGTATTTACTAGGTACTGAGATAGATGAAAATTAGGGATGAGGTATTGACTGAAGAACTAAATACAACTTTTTAAGAAAGACTTGCAACTGTGTTGGAGTAAGTTCTTTATTACAAACTTACTTTATAGTACAGGGGCCACAATTATTATTGTTTTCTTGCCATAGAGATACCTAATTCTTCTATCATCACTTATTTAAAAAAAAAACACTTTAATTTTAGAAGTGAAAAAAAGGAACCCTTTGTGTCATTTAACTTCTTTATAAAATCTAGAGATCATCTAAACAAGGATCTTTCATAGACATACTGGTGTAATTAAGATTCAACATCAGGTTTCATTATTTTATATTGTTATATTGGTTATTTCTATTCCATATTCACATTTTTCTATAATACTTTCTCATACTTATTCTCTTCTCCCTGGTATTATAAAGTACAGGATATGTCCAAAAACAAGGAGAAAATTAAAATAATTTTTATTCAGCATTTAGTGACAGCCAGCACACAATATTTGTTCTATATGTTCTTTGCCAATTATTATTTTGTAGTCTTTTTACTTTATGTATTTTTTCTAAGTTATTAAGTTGCCTTCTAAAAAAGAATGATATAGATAAGTTATTGTAGGTATATATATTTTAGCTATAGTGGTATGATATACCTGGTTTTTAGCTAAATATATATGCATGTTTGAAAAATTCATAAAAAACTAAATGTGAAATTATTTGATTAGATCATGTGACCATAACAAAAATTTTCATATGAAAATATCTCATAATGTATAGTGATTTTATACATGAGTGCAAGGACTTTTAAAAATCACTACATGGTTAATTACTGGTTTTTTGTTTGGTTGGATTAGCACTTTCTCTTTTTCACCCTGTAGTATGTTGTAGTATGCAGGAAAAATGATAAGGTGTTGCACACTGGGGAAACCGAGGTGGTAATTGCTCTGCTCTTTATCACAGGTTTGGCTTGGCCACCCAGACTGCCAAGAAGATCAATATTTTAACCATTTTTAAAATCCTGGTTTTAAGATCTGATGATAAGGCTCTAGATTATTTCTTGCATTTTGTGTCAGATATTCCCTGTCTTTTATAATAGATTTTACAGTTTGTTTTACTATATTGTAGATATGTAAAATGCATCTACTTTACTGGTATTGGACATTTAGGCTGTTCTTGTATTTATAATTACAGATAGTATTATGAATGTCTTTTGGTGGCTGAGCATATTCCCAGAGGTGGAATTGCTGGCTCATAGAATAGGTATACATTTAGTTTAATTAGGTACTATCAATTTTCCAAAGTAACTGTACAGTTTTACACTCACATCAGCTATCTGAGAGAGTTTCAGTTGCTCCTGATTCTCACCAGTATGGTATACTATTTGCTGTTTTTATTTTAGTCAGCCATTCTGGGATATGTGTAGTGGTATTTGGTTGTACAATGTTCTGATTACTAATGGTACTGAGAATATTTCATATTAGCGTTGCAAATAAATGGCTTTTAAAACAAAATTGAACTTTTATTTTGAGATCTGCACATGCAGTTGTAAGAAATAATACAGATTCTATGAATTTTCTAAATGCAGTTTCTCTCAGTGATACCATCTTGCAAAATAAAGGTACAATAATACAACAAAAATACTGCCCTAGATGCAGTCAAGACATGGAACATTTCCATTATGGCAAAGATCCTTAATTTTGCCCTTTTATGGACACATACTCAGTTTATTCCTACTCATTAATCTCCCCTTAATACCTAAATTATTCTTCATTTCAAGAATGTTATATATGTAGAATCATATAGTATGTCGTTCTTTGGGATTACCTTTTTTACTCAGCTTATTTCTCTGGAAATTCATCAAGGCTGCTTCATATGTCACTAGCTTTTTTTTTTTTTTTGCTTTCTTTAGCTTATTCCTTTAATTAGTATGTTTATAATACATAGTAATTTAATTGCATTTGTGGGCTTGTACATATACATATAGTACCTTTTTATTTTCTTTCCCCTTCCTTCTCTTCTTTCTCCTATAATTCCTAAATCCCTTCCCATCTCCACAAAGTCTGTCTCTCTCTTTCCTATCTTTTACCTTTTTTTGCTTCTTAAGTTATTTATACTTTGGTTTCACATATAAAGATGTTTGTGCTTGTGTATCTGATTTATTTCACTTAGAATTATGGTCTCAAGGGGCATTGACTCAAACTTACCTTTGTTTATGACTGAGAAGCACTACATGTGTATATATGTTATCTTTATTCATCCATCTGTTGGTGGGCATGTGGGCTGCTTCCAAATTTAGCTACTATGAGTTCTGTTATGAACATGGGTCTGCATGTATTACTGTAATATGATGTCTGTAGGTACACAAAAGAGGTATAGCTAGGTCAAATGGAATTTCTATTTTTGTTTTTTTGAGGAATTTCCATACTATTTTCATAATGGTTCTACTAGTTTATGTTCCCACCACCAATGTAGAAGGGTTTCATTTTTCCCATAGCTGTTACATTCTAAATCCTGAAGGTAGTAGGAACTAATGGGAGAGATGACTGAAGACCAGGGAGGAATTAAAAATGACGACATCATATTCCCAATTGTGTGGATATGTTGTTGCTACTTGAGGTAGGAAACACAGGAGTAAATCATATTTGGGAATATAGTGAGTCATACTTTGGACGTATGATTTTTTTAATGCTTATAAAACATCTGTGTTGACATTCCCAATAGACATTTGAAGTAAGAATTTAATATTTGGGGGAAGGTTAGGAATCAGATGATGGATGATGCTGTGGAAGAGGGCAGTTTTAGATAAGTAGAGATCTTACGAAACATTGCTAAGAAAGGAATAGAACTTAAAAATATAGAATGAAAGAGTGCACTGTCACACAAACCATAGAAACTTCTGTCCTCAGACTTCTGCCTGTTAGGATCTTTCTCAGAAAATTCAGATAAATCTTCCATCATTACCTGCCCTTTCCCATCTCATTCCCTCCTATGTGTTTCTATAGTAGTTTCTTCTTTTGGTAGTTTAGCATTTATCACATTGCCATATTGTACTTTCTTATTTGTATTTTTTTCCCTCATCAAGATTATATTTTCCTTACCAGGTGTGGTGGCACTCAGGGCACTCCCAGCACTTAGTATGGCTGAGGCAGGAGTTCAAGGCCAGCCTGGACTGCATAGTGAGTTCAAGATCAGCCTGAACTACACAGTGAGACCTTGTCTCAAAAACTAAAGATTTTATCTTCCTTGAAGCCAAAGATTAGGTATTTTTCATCGTTTTTCCTGTGTATGACAGTTGAATTGAAATAAGAGATGGTCCGTTTCAGAGCTTTAAGTTGGAGCGAGAAGAATTTAGACAAGGCTGTTAGATTTGATTGCTGAGATTTTAGGGAAATTATCTCTTGAAAAATGGGAAGTGAATGGAGAATTCTGTAGCCTTCCTTTTCTTGTCAGCTTTGGAGCTTTTTATACAGTGGTACCTTGGTTCATGAACTTAATTCTTTCCACAAGTCTGGTTGTGGAATTTGTTCCAGAATTGTGGAAAGAATTAAGTTCGTGAACCAAGGTACCTCTGTATCTTCTTCTTCATTCTCTTTAAGTTATTCTAATCTGACGTCCTTTGGTAACTGTTTCATCATGGTGGAAAAGCCTTCTTTCCCATGAAGTAAGGATTCTATTGTTCATCCAAATTGAGATCATATCCCCTTCCCATTAAACTTCTGTCTAACCCTGTATGAAACTCACTCTGCTAAACTTCCATGACACTATGTATTATGTTATTAATATTTAATTATTCTTAAATATCTGTACCCATATCTTGAGAATATTATTTTTATATTTTACTTTTTATATTAACAGTGTGCTCAATAATTAGACATCATGTCTTGATTTTATGTATCATTAATTAAATTATGTCAGAGCTTCCTAGGTTTTGTTTTAGTCTAGATATTCACCTTTTAAATTTAATTTTAACTTTAATCTAGATGTCCACAAAAATGTTTTTCATTTGAAGTTTAAAAATTGTTATGGACTGATTTAGTTTGATTTTTTTTTTTTGAGTAAAAGATTTCTGGCATAGAGTTTTGTAAACTGTTATCTAGGAACTTGTACCTGTTTCTGTGTAGCATATAGTACTTACATGTACTACTACTACTACTACTACTACTACTACTACTAATACTACTACTATTTTGAATTATTAATTGTTTTTAGATTTTTTTCCCCCTTATGGACTCCATAAGGTTAGAAATCATTAATTCTATTTGTTACTTTTGTATTCCTAGTCTTTTTGATTTGTTATTTTTTTGGTCTCATACTAATCATATTTCAATAATGGAAATTAAAACTTTTTTTTTCATTTATATCATTGAGATTCACCAGTAATGACAGGTTAATAAAATCTGTGATGTAGTTTTGTTATAGTATCCATTTTTATTTGAATTATAATTGTTTTTTCCACTTAAAAGCATATTTCATTTTTTAGTGTAAAACTTGTTAAGGCATTATAAATACAAAGTTACAAAATACAATTCTACAGTGTGGTCATATGATGAGTAAGCTTCATGTTGCAATTTTTTTCTTTATATATTTTCACCTCGATAAATTCAAATGTCTTATTTTCTTTAATGGAAATTGTCTTTTTATACAGGAGCCAGTAAAATGTCATAGTTTTTATTTTCAGTGTATGCTTTTATTCAGTAGTTTCTATGTAAGAGCTAAATAAAGTGGGAACATTTGGTTGGATTAAACAGAAAAGCCTTTTTCTTTCCAGATTGCAGCAATTCTCCGGAAACGAAAAATTGACTATTATTTATACAAACTGCTTCCTGAGATCCTACAATCTGCTTCATTTTTGACTGCTAATGGAGCCTTCTATATTGCTTTCTTTTGCCTTCTCAGGTTGGTACTCATAATCACCACTAGAAATTAATACAAATTTCTTCGTTAAAGTGGAAACAAATAGATGTTTACATAATTGTTATGGAGGTCACTGCCACTATTTCTATTTTAAATCTTTGAAATGATGTTTATCTAAAAAAAAAGTGGTAGAAACAGGACTATGGGCCCCGTGGGCCTCAAGATGTAGTATAGATTTCAGATAATTGATATGATTATATAGCAAAAATGCTTTAATGTGTCATATTTTCTGAGACCTGCTATATTTCTAGAGCTGTTGTTCCAGATTTCTTGCTTTTCAATTTTATAGATCAGAAATTCAAAGCAACTATGACAAAGGGCTACGTGTGGTGAACAGAACTCAAAAGGATTATAAAGTGCATGTATTTATGTATCAAACAAATATAACTAGTGGCTGGGCATGGTGGCGCACACCAGTAATCCCAGCACTCGGGAGGCTGAGGCAGGAGGAATGCTATGAGTTCGAGACCAGCCTGAGCTACATAGTGAGTTCTAGGTCACTCTTACTACATAGTGAGACCCTGTCTCAAAAAACCAAAAAAAAGATTCAAACAAATATAACTAGTAGTATATCCTGCTGTTGGATCATTTAGTTCTGATTCAACCTTGTGTTCCTTTATCTATGCACTTGCTTTTACACATTGTAAGTGAAGATAGAATTTAGTCTTTGGAGTGCTGTGAGAAACCTATTTACTATATACACCCGTTTTTGTCTTTTTTCCACTGATTGCTGAAAATAAGCTTTTTAAAAATAGCAACAAATTAAAATATTTATTTCATATCTTCATAGTTGTTGCCTAAAGTAGTTCTATGTACAGTATTTAAGCTACAATGAAACATGTAATTTTTTTTTCTTCTTTTGGTACTGGGGATTGAATTCAGGCCCTTGCGCTTGCAAGGCAGGCAGTGAACCAGGCAGCAAAACCACTGAGCCAAATCCCCGGCCCTAAACATGTAATTTAAAAATATATTTAACAGCCTGGCGTGGTGGTACATACCTGTAATCCCAGCACTCGGGAAGCTGAGGCAGGAGCATCACTGTGAGTTCGAGACCAGCCTGGGCTACATAGTGAGTTCCAGGTCATTCTCCACTACATAGTGAGACCCTGTCTCAACAAAACAAAACAAAACAAAACAAAAAACAACAAAAAAAACCCCAACTAAAAATATATTTTACATAAATTTTTGTTGAGAGTATTAATATTTATAAGCTTTTAATATATAAAAAATAGCTGATCAGGTTCTATACTGTTGAGCATGTCAAGTAAAGAAATTTACTTAAAAATCTGTGACTTTATCATGTGGTTTCTAGAAAGTTACTAAGATGTCAAAACTCTAAAAATAAGTTTAAATATAATATGGTTTTTAAAAAATTATGCTACATATAAATTGCTATTGTTTAGCATATTTCTTTATGTTCTGTGAACCTGTTTCTTAATTGTGGAAGCATAAAATACTAAAATAAGGCAATATCTATGTCTTCCTGTTATTGATTGTATGAGTCCTTTTCCTTTATTTTACATTCAATGTCTTGTTCTTTTTAGAGGAAAAACTGCCTCCATTTTTCACAGGCAGACAATATCCACAGTAGTTTTTCTAATTGTTTTAAATCTAAACTTCACTTAAAAAGATTATTTCATCTCTAATTTTTCTCTCTCCCTCCCTTCTTTCTTCTTTCTCCTGTCATGCGTCATTTAGCAATTGACCAACTTTGTCCATATAATTTTTTTATAATTTTAACATGCCATTTTTCCTTTTTTCAAGAATATATTATTTGGAAATGAAAACAAAACAAAACAATACCCCCCCACCTGGGATTGGACTCAGGACTTTGTGTTTGCCAGGCAGGCTCTGTGCCACTGAGCTACATCCCCAGCTCTGAAAAAAAAATCTTAACATCTGTAATTCTTTTTTCTTTTTAAAAACTCTGCCAGCTAATAATCATTTATTATAATGGGGCATTCTCCAGATTTCTACTTTCAAGTAACATTCTACTAAGTGAAAAGTGATTTATGCTTAAAACTAAAATACCAAATACTTTAGTTAAATACTATAAGAAAAAAGTTACCAAGTGTTGTAGAATAAAAGAAGGAAAAATATTTGTTGAATAGCAGGTGTTAAAAATAGTAATAATAATAATAATAATAAATTAATAATTGTAATAACAACCAGTACTTTTTGAATTTTCTATGTGCCCTGGATGGTACTGGTGAGAGAAATGAGTTTGGTTTGGGCACACTGAATTTAAGGTGGGACATTTGGATAGGGGGTGGTCTGAAAGGACCTTTTATTTGTAATAACAGAAATGAACAACTAGGAATTTCATATAAAACTTCCAAATTTGAATTTCAGGAAGATACTTGGAAGATTCTACTCATGGACTCCTGGCTTTGGTGCCGCTTTACCAGCATCTTACATAGCCATTCTAATTGAAAGGAAAAGCAGGTAAAATTTTACATGTCTACATATTTAGTAGAACTGGTTACCTGTGCCTTATTGAAACTGCACTTTTTTTAATGTGTGTTTTTACATATCACTTATTGCAGTATAAGGATGAGAAATAATTCCAGACATGTTTTTTCATTTCTGCACATATTTTCTTAAAATTTTTACAGAATTAGTTGTATTTATTAAATCTAAAAATATAAAGATATTAGAAAGCAGTATTACTTACTAACTTTTATTTACTGAAAAATTAGAGGGTTCTGTGACACTGGTGAACTAAAGCATACCATATACAAATTCTAATGAAAGCTCTTTTCTGTAACTATAACATTATCACAACTAAGAAAATTAGTTATTTCATACTATCATCTAAATCTGTACTTTGCTTCAGGCAGTCCTATTATCTGTTATACCAATTATTATCTTTTCCTTTTTTTTTGTTTTTTGAGACAGGGTCTCAGGTAGTTGAGACTGACCCGGAACTCACTATGTAGCCCAGGCTGGTCTCGAACTCACAGTGATCCTCCTGCCTCAGCCTCCCGAGTGTGGGGATTACAGGCGTGTGCCACCATGCCTGGCCCAATTATTATTTTTAAGGTATCTTGTCATTAAAATAATTTTATTATCCTCATCCTGAAATTTTCCATGTGAATGTGACTTCTATAGACTGTTGTAAACTAATGTAAACTGTTCAGTTAGATAAATGGTTGAACTTAAATCTTTTGCAAGAGAAAATTTGTCAACCAGTGAATAATTATTTTTAACTGTTGGGAAATTATCCACCTTTGTCCCAGAGATTAAAATGAAGTAATATATTCAAACTTTAGCTTATAAAAGTGCTTGTGATAGTTATGGGCCCCCTAAGAAAAAGTAAGTCATATGAGATACCCTAGTATTTAAACTACTTGAAGCCATTCTTTTTTTTTTTTGGTACCAGGGATCAAACTTGGGACCTTGTGCTTGCGAGGCAGGTAGTAACACCACTGAACTAAATCCATGGCCCCATTGAAGCCATTCTTAATGTGCTCTTATAAGTACTGCATAATCTTACCTAAATTTTCTCTCTGATGGATTTATCATGATTCTTTGGTATTATTAGAATTACTAAATTCACAGACCTCGTAGATGTTAGAATCTCTGTAGAATCAAGTTAATAATGACATATAGTTTATTCCGTCTGAGAAGACAGTACAGCATGGTAGGTAGATGTGGATTCTGAAGCTATATTGGCTGGTTTGGAGCTTGGCTATGTCACACACCATGTCACTCATGGCTCATTGCTTACCTGAAAAGTGGAAATAATAATGTTATTTTTCACATTGTTCAGATAATTGAATTACTATATGTAAAAAAAAACATGAAATAGTGCCTGGCCCATAGTAATGATATCTATGTGTTAAGTAGTATTATTGCCTTTTGCCCGTAAGTAATAAGAGGGAGAATGATGATTGTAAACGTCTTGATCAATTGTAAATTGTGAGTTCTGTTTTTGAAAATACATGTTCAAAAATATACTACTATATATAAAACTGTAAAGATCCTTTAAATTTGCCATGATTTGCTTATTTTTAGCACTTGAATGATGAGAAAACATTTTTGTAGCTATGTGCTTGCTTCATAACAGAAACTTGAAATGGACACCTTTCTAACCATCAGCTAGAGTCAACAGTTGTAAACATTTCCCCATTTTTACTTTAACTGTATGTGAATGTATTTGTACATAGTATAGTATAGTATAGTATAGTTGTACCTTGTGGAAGTATGTTGTGGACATGATGACACTGTACTTCTAAATACTTTAGTGTACACCTCCTAAAATAACATTGTTCTCCTATATAACTGCACCACCATTATCACACATAAGAAAATTAACATTCCTTAATACCTTCTAGTCTATACTGGCCTAAAATGATTTCTATGACTGCGTCTTTGAACTAGAATGCAGTCAAAATTTATATATGTTATTATATTTTTAAAATTTTCTTCTAATCTAAGAGAGTTTCTTCACGTTTTTCTCCACAGTGTTGGCTTATCTCATGTAACACTTTTCTAGTTTTGTCTAAATTGTTTTTTCATGGAATTTTTTAATTGGCTTATTTATTGAGTGTATTTCTGTAAACTGAAAGTTTGATCTAAAGGTTTGATTAGATTAAAATTAAACATTTATGCTAAAAATATGCGTCATACATGATGCTGAGCCATTGCTTGATGATTCCAGTTAGAATTTATAAAGATTGTGATCACCAGATCTTTCCATTAAATTTATTATTTTTGGTAAATTAGATCATGGGTTTGATCACTTGGTATGACATTAGTACTTATGAGATTAGCTGCTCATTTTGTATATATTTGTCCTATTTGCATATCTATGTGTGTTAGTTACTTTTCTCTCATTGCTGAGACAAAATACAAAGTTAGAGGGGAAGGAGTTTATTTAGCTCACAGTTCGTAGAAGTTTTAGTCCATCATCAGCTGGTTCCAAGTCGGAGTGGCACATGGCACATCACAGAGGAAAAAACAATTCATGGCTGTGAATGACAGCAAAAGCAACAAGAGACTTAAACAGTGTCTTTTTGCTCCTTTTATCTTATTCAGACTACTGGGATTAGGGCAGTTCCAGACAAATCACTCGTGTGTAGTGGTTTAGTAATCACATGCCCTTAATCCTAACATCACATTCTCTATAGGTTTACCCACCTGTGACCACACAAGGCTTTGAAGGGACATCTAGACCCAAACCATAACACTATGTCAGATTCACTTTATAAAATATATAGTTTTCTTCCTTTATCGTGGAATAATTTAGGTAATGATGAGCTTTCTGGTCTGTGAGTGTTTGGTTATTTCCTATATAAGATCTTCCTGGTATAATGATTCTTTTGGGTGGTAGTTCTGAAAAAGGTGTTTCCTCTATGCAAGTTAGCTCTGTTTAAGCTTTCAACTCATACAAGAAAAAGTTTTAGTAACATTTTCTAACAATTAGTTTCACACTTCTTAAAAATTACTCATTTTATAGAAATTACTCATTTTAAAAGATTTTCATATTTGTTGTTATTGAACAAAGTAGTTTGTTATGATTCGACTGAATCACCAGTTTTCTATACTTGTTTCTCAGAAGTTTATTGTATATAACTGTGCCATTCTCTTTTTCCTCATTTAATTATCTAAGTCTCCTGATCTTAGGTTTTCTTTTGTTTTTGAGGTGCTGCAGATCGAACTTAGAGTCCGTGCTATACCCCTGAGCTATACATCAAATCTTTTTTCCTTTCATTTCTTGGTATTTTAATTCAATTTTTATTTTTTACTTCTATTTTCTTTTGGCTAATTTGGTTTCTTCTTTATAATTTTTAGATTTATGTTTAATTTATTCATTTTTTATTTTTAAAGTTCCACTGCTATTAGTATTTTAGGATATGGATTTTCTTTTAATCATTGCATTAATTGTGTCCCATAGATTGTGATGCATGGTGTGTTCATCATTATTTTCTCAAAATTCTGCAATTTTTAGTTTATGATTTTTCTTTGATATAAGAATTATTTTGTAATGAGAGTAAAAAGATAAAGGGGCCTCTTTGTTACTAATTTCTATTGTTTTGCATTCTCACCTCAGAATTTTGTTTGTAGTATTTCCTTTGTATAGAGCTCTAAAGGTTTTCTTAGTGGCTTAATTTATACACGGCTTTGTGACTTTTATAAATGTTTGAAAGAAGTAAATTCTCTGTTATTGAGGTTCAAAAGTAGATAGCCTTAAGATCTGTGTGATTTAGGTTATAATTTCATTTTGAGGTTTTTCATTTAATGCCTTTTAGCTTAAGTGTTATAGATTTTTAGATGTTAGTACCACAACTCTTGATTTCTTTTTGCTTGTGTTTGCTTTGTATGTCTTTACCTTTTGAAACAATTTATGGGTCTTGTTCATATACAGTACATCATAAAATTTTTTGTGAACAAATATGAAATTTAAAAAATTTTAATGTTAGTTAAACCTGTGTGCATTTATGGCTACTATTTTTTTTTTTATAAATTAATTATATCTTTATTTCACTAGTGATTCAAACACGAACCAGAAGAGAATACCCAGTTAATTATCATTTTGCTCTTCCTCTGTTTTTTTCTATTAGGAAATAAACAAACATAAGCTAATGATAAAATTATGCTTATAATTTTTTTTTTTATTGAGTTTATTGGTACATTTAGGGATGCAGTACAGTTACATTCATTGTTGGGATCATGTACCTATGGCTACTATTGATATCATTCATTGACTACACTAATATGTTTGGTTTTGTTCTGCCACATTGCAGTATTTTATATTACTTTTTCTATATTGCTATGTAGTTTATTTTAAACTTTTATTTTTTATTTATTTATTTTTTTCAGCTTTAATTGAGTTTATTGGTACATTTTAGGGATACAGTACAGTTACATTCATTGTTGGGATCTTGTACCTCTACAGGACAAGTCTTGATTCTCATTTTTTACCCCTTACCTCTGCCCTCCCTTCACCCCTCCTCCCCTCCCCATCTACACACACTTTATTTTCATCTTTTCATTCTCTCACATTTTTTTCTTTTCCCTTTTTACTCTTCCCCTACCCATCCCACCTTCCCTACACCTTTAGCTCCTTTCTTCCCATTTCTAAATGTCAGTAATCTTATTAGAATCTTATGCATTGTTGCAGATTATTCACACCAGGGAAACTATTCGGTATTTACACATGTGTGACTTATTTATTTCACTTAGGAGTATATCTTCAATATGTATCCATTTTCCTATGAATGAATCTATTTTCTCATTCTTTATGGCCGAGTAATATTCCATTTTATAGAAAAACCACATCTTCTTTATCCAGTTTCCAACTGATGGGCAAATGGGCTGTTTCCAAGTTTTAGCTATTACAAACTGTGCCGCTATAAACATGGGTGCACATACTTCTCTGTGATATGATTCTTTTAGTTCTCTTGGAAAGATACCCAGCAGAGGGATGGCTGGGTCAAATG